GACTTTCCTCCTCATCTCGCTCCTCCCCCTCCTCTTCGATCGAGGATGTGTGTTTGTGTGTGTGTGTGTGGCGGGAGTGGTGGGGGGAATGGTTCTCCTAAGTTAGCTGTCGCCTTACCGCTGCGTGCATTCGTCTGCAACGCTTCCAGCCGTTACATGGATGCAGGGATGTTCCTTTTCAACATGGGGTTCCCATGTGAGAGCTCAGTAGTTACTCGTGTGGAGGGTGGTTCCATTCCAGAATGAGGTTCTCGCTTTGGGTTTCTGCAGATATACCACCGGGAGTTCAACACTGCACAACAGCTTCACAAATGGGATGCGGTTCCTTTTCAAAGCGGGACTCTCGTTGGGCACCTGCTTCAATGTATATTCCCACATGCTTATAGATAGCGCAGATGAAGAGACGGAGGGCGTCTCGTTTTCAAAGCGGTATTACTGCTCAAATGGCAGGCCATGGGACGCTCGTCTTTCAAGGGGGCGCTCCCTTTCTGAAAACGACTGCGTGTAGGGGCGTTAACGTGGGGACTTGGGTTCGGGAGGGCGTATTGCAGAATTGTTGATGCGTATTGGGTTTATTCTTGTCCTCCATCTCCCTCCTCCCTTCTCCCCATCCTCCTCTTCCTCCTTGCCAGCGCTCCCTGTCTTTTCATCTTCCTCCCCCCGCTTTCGTTAGCCACTTGACTGTTTGCTTAGTCTCGTAGCTCAGGGAGACTTTTGGTCCAGTAGTTTTTTGCTTCGCTTTGCTCCTCCTCCCTCCTCCCTCGACCTCGTCGTCGTCGTCCTCCTCCTCCTCCTCCTCCTCCTCCTCGACGCGCACTCCTCACACGGAAAACGCCTTTGCGCTGTGATTCCTCCCCGTGAGCGCGCGGGCCTTGACCGACGGACCGCCGAGGCCCGGAGGCATCCAAGGAGACCTTCAGCGGCGTCGAGGGCCCAGGCAGTGACCTCTCTCATTCTTCTCCTGCGCCATCCTCCTGCTCCTGCTGCTGCTGCTGCTGCTGCTGCTGCTGCTGCTCCCCCCTCCCTCCTGCCTCCACCCGCCTCGTCCTGATCCTCCTCCTCCTCCGCCTCCGCCTCCTCCTACCTCCTCCCTCCTTCCGCTTCCCTTCTTGGCCTGTTCCTATGATTATTCTCCCTTCTCCGCTCACCCTTCTTCTTTCGCCCTTCTGCAGTAACCCATAAGTCCCAATTGCTCTCCTTCCTCCCCTGACACCATGCTGGATTGAATTCGCCACCACCGCGTCTCGTTTTCACACGCATCATGTCGGCGCGTTGTATTCCATGTGCGGTTTTCCAAGCGGAGCGTCTTCTGTCCTTCGAGGTGTGTTCCCTCTGCCGCACCGATTACATTTCAGAATCGGTATGTTGCTCCCGTCGGTTGGAATGGCGCTCGCGTCCCAGCGCGCGTAGTTACAGCCTCCTTCCTTTCCCCCTCCACCGCCTTCCCTTCTCCTCCCGATCCTTCTACTCCTCTTTCTCCTACTCCTGCTCTTCATCCTTCTATCCTCCTGTTCCTCCTCATCCTCCTTCCTCTTGCTGCTGCTCCCTTCCCTTTCCTTCCCCTTCTTCTCCAACTGACAAAATCCCTATCTTGTCGATCGCACGTGTAACGTCCACAGCTTTCCAACGGTCAAACATCGAAGGTATTGTGATATTATGGTGCCATGCCTTGAAATGCTACAGCGGTCGCGTACATAGAAAGCGCCGACATCGCATCACGGAAATGATACGACCACTGTTCGTGACGACGTCCACATTCTCCTTACCCTAGAAAATTATCGACCTCCAACGAGTCCAGCTTGCATCAATTAACGTGGGGCGTACCGCTGGTACGCAGGAGGGGCTTCAGGCTGTCATCAGCATTGTCTCTATGTCTGTTCCCTGGTGGGCTGCTATCTTTATCTCTGAGGCTGACGCCTATCAGGACGACAGGCCAGGTAGTCATGACACTCACACCGTTTATCGCCATTACCCTGGGATTGGGTCGTGGTCTATGGCTTTCGTAATTCGAAGGCGGATGGGGCTTTCTGTCAAGTCTTGCACGTGGAGGGGAAGATGTGGGGCAGTACATCTTTACAAGAGGGGTGACTTACATAATCCGGGGATCAATTTGTACACTCTTGGCGTTCACGGAGCGCATGGGGAACTACTCATCGACACAATGGGTGACCTGGCATTTTTGTTGCGTCGGCGGCCGTTCGGTTCCAAAGTCGCTATCGTCGGTGACTTCAACATCGACATGCTGCCGGACATCGTTGGGGACCCGTGGGGCGGAGATGCTGACCGAGAGCAACACCATGCGGATCGGCGGCTCCTTCTCGAAGCGTTTACTGAGCGGTTTCATTTGGAACTGCACTTGCCTGTCATTTCTTACGGTGTTCCTGGTGGGCCTTTTGCCGAGCAGTGCCTCGTGACGCCAATCAGCAGGATACCCACTGGAGAGTTGGCACTAGTTACTAGGCCGAGTCTCCTCAGCTACTGTGTTGCCACTCGAGGCCTTGTGAGGTCTGTCGGAGTGCACTGGGAAGGAATCCCTGCAGACCATGCCACTGTTGTCATTGAGTGCACACCGGTCTACGTGAAGCGTGAGGCGGCGAAGACCCGGTGGAAGTGCATCGACACAGATGGTTGTGTGCAATGGATGCGAGAGCATTGTCCACCTTTCTTTAATGACCTTGAGGAGTTCCATTCTTTCCTACTAAAGGCCCAGACCGTCTGGGGTGACCGTCGATCTTGCGCGACCCGGAGGGCCAGCAGAGTTCCACCCGAGCTTCGCGAGTTGTATGCCCAGATCGCTAGCACGACAAACGAGTATGATAGGAAGAAAATGCAGACGTCTGCTTGGAACTGTTTGAAGCAGCGGATTGCTGATTGCACTGCCGAGCGTCTGACGGAGGATGTCAAGAAGGGCCGTGTTCTCGAGAAGGCGAAAAAGCTGCACACCATCAAGGGTTTGCTTATACCAGGGGACGGGGCCAACCAACCTATCATGGATGAGGCTCAGTGGCAGGAGCCGATGAAGGCGCAGTTCTCGGAAAAATGGGGCGCTTCGCAACGGCAGCTCAGACGACGGCTCTTAGACTTTATCCTCCAGTCCGAGTCCTGCCCCCCGCCCATATCTGAGGTCATGCTGGCTTCGGCCTGCAGGGCGCCTGCCAACAAGTCCAAACTGGACCATTATGGTGTACCAGTAGAGGTCATCTGACTCCTATTCACCGCCTGTCCTTTGACTACAACACCGTTTTTTGAGACGCTGCTAGGGTCGTCTCCGCTCATGGCAAGCATACAGATCAATGGCAGGTTGTGTGGCAAAGAGTCTTCTACCACGCCACATTCGCAGACCAGGGCCATCCTTCCACTACCAGCTGTTTTGCAAATGCGCGAT